AAAATGGGTCGTGGATGGGTATTCCAGCATGATAATGACCCAAAACACACGGCCAAGGCAACAAAGGAGTGGCTCAAGAAGAAGCACATTATGGTCCTGGAGTGGCCTAGCCAGTCTCCAGACCTTAATCCCATAGAAAATCTGTGGAGGGAGCTGAAGGTTCGAGTTGCCAAACGTCAGTCTCGAAACCATAATGACTTGGAGAAGATCTGCAAAGAGGAGTGGGAAAAAATCCCTCCTGAGATGTGTGCAAACCTGGTGGCCAACTACAAGAAAAGTCTGACCTCTGTGATTGCCAACAAGGGTTTTGCCACCAAGTACTAAGTCATGTTTTGCAGAGGGGTCAAATACTTATTTCCCTCATTAAAATGCAAATCAATTTATAAAATTTTTGACATGCGTTTTTCTGGATTTTGTTGTTGTTATTTTGTCTCTCACTGTTCAAATAAACCTACCATTAAAATTATAGGCTGATCATTTCTTTGTCAGTGGGCAAACGTACAAAATCAGCAGGGGATCAAATACTTTTTTCCCTCACTGTAAACTCTGACTTTAACATAGCCACTTCCGTGACCAGTTACATGCTAATTCCTCACATTAACATAATACTAATCTCCCAGTTGCATGCTAATTTCTCACCTTAACATCCTGCTAATCTCTTAGTACCTTTCAGTGTAATGTTTAATATAATTTATTTGGTAATATATAGTATCGTTATTGTATAGTGAATATACAGCAGGGTTGGTAAAATAATACATAGTGTAATATTACAAGTCTAATATTATTATAATCTAAGGTATAGGGTAGTGTATAGTAACGCAGTGTATAATTCAATGTTGGGGGTCTGTCTATGGCAGTTCATAATAAAAATATTATTTGGAGGCATATTATAATATTTTTTGCGACATAGAAGTGTAATGTATAATAACTTATTGTTAGTAGCTCAGCTTAGTGGAGAATATATTGAGTATTTTGATTATATTGATGTAGTTTATATTTAGTTCTTTCACATCGGTTTATTGTATGATAGTTGGGTAGTTGCAGTTCTTTAGCGTCAATATACTAAATGCCTCTGTTGATATGTAAACTCTGACTTTAACATAGCTATTTCCGTGACAAGTTACATGCTAATCCCTCACACTAACATCATGCTAATCTCTCAGTTACATGCTAATTTCTGACTTTAACATCCTGCTAATCTCTTGCATTAACATAGCTACTTCAATGCCAAATACTTCTGTTGATATGTAAACTCCTTTGTCAAGGCGTTCTGCTCCTCCCACCCAGCTTGAAAGACGCTGCCAAGCTTGGCAGTGTTCACTGAAGTGCTGTCTTCCCGACAGTTCTGTTTCTTCACCTGAGGAAGGCTACTTGTGTTGTGGCGGAAACGTCGTGAGAATTTTATTTTATTATGTTGTGTTTTTTATTATTTTATTATTTCCCTTCTACGTGACTTTACCGAAAGAACCAAGAAGACATAATAATACTATTACTGATAGAAATGAACCCACAACAAATGTGCATGTCAGTGGAACTGGGTAGGAACTTGTAGGGTCACTGGGAAAGCATTTTAATTGAATGTATTCGTTGAACCCACAATTTGTGATAGAGGCCGACTCAGAGAAAGGGGACGACTCAGAGAGAGAGGACGACTCAGAGAGAGAGGACGACTCAGAGAGATAGAGAGGACGACTCAGAGAGAGACAGGGGACGACTCAGAGAGAGAGAGGACGACTCAGCGAGAGAGAAGACGACTCAGAGAGAGAGGACGACTCAGAGAGAGAGGACGACTCAGAGAGAGAGGACGACTCAGAGAGAGACAGAGGGGACGACTCAGAGATAGAGGGGGGGGGGGCGACTCAGAGAGAGAGGACGACTCAGAGAGAGGGAGAACGACTCAGCGAGAGAGAGGACGACTCAGAGAGAGAGAGGACGACTCAGAGAGAGAGAGGACGACTCAGAGAGAGAGGAGGCGACTCAGAGAGAGAGGACGACTCAGAGAGAGAGAGAGGACGACTCAGAGAGAGAGAGGATGATTCAGAGAGAGAGAGGACGACTCAGAGAGAGAGGACGACTCAGAGAGAGAGAGGACGACTCAGAGAGAGAGAGGACGACTCAGAGATAGAGGGGGGGCGACTCAGAGAGAGAGAGGACGACTCAGAGAGAGAGATGACCAACTCAGAGAGAGAGAGAGGACGACTCAGAGAGAGAGAGGACGACTCAGAGAGAGAGAGGACGACTCAGAGAGAGAGAGGACGACTCAGAGAGAGAGATGACCAACTCAGAGAGAGAGAGAGAGGACGACTCAGAGAGAGATGACGACTCAGAGAGAGATGACCAACTCAGAGAGAGAGAGAGGACGACTCAGAGAGAGAGAGGACGACTCAGAGAGAGAGAGGACGACTCAGAGAGAGAGAGGAGGCGACTCAGAGAGAGAGGACGACTCAGAGAGAGAGGACCAACTCAGCGAGAGAGAGGACGACTCAGAGAGAGGACGACTCAGAGAGAGAGGGGGGGCGACTCAGAGAGAGAGAGGACGACTCAGAGAGAGAGGACCAACTCAGCGAGAAAGAGGACGACTCAGAGAGAGGACGACTCAGAGAGAGAGGACGACTCAGAGAGAGAGAACGACTCAGAGATAGAGGGGGGGCGACTCAGCGAGAGAGAGGACGACTCAGAGAGAGGACGACTCAGAGAGAGAGGACGACTCAGAGAGAGGGGGGGGGCACTCAGCGTGAGAGAAAGGGAGGGGGGGGGACGACTCAGGGGCGCCAGGAGGAGGAAAAACAGACGAGGAGCGGGAAGTCAGCAGTGCCAAATTCCCCCCAAAGCTCTGCAGTCCTCTATATATCAAGTTGTTCACGTGTGTTCTGGCACACTGATCCTCCTCGATTAAAAAAAAACCATCACAGCCAATGAGAACGACGGATACATTCCTCCTTTTATTTCATCGCATGCAGAAAGGTGCGTTCAAGATATGCCCATGTAATATTTACGTAACCGTCATTTTAGAGCGCGGCGTTACTACAACAGCCGAGGGAGCTGTCCCACACAAACTCTGGAAACAAAGGCCATACAAAGCCGTCAAGACGCTGCCCCACCCCCCGCCCCCCCAGATCACTACAGCCCTGGTTACCTGCCCTGGTTACCAATCTTCACAATTGTGCAACGTGTGACTAGTACATTGATCACGCAGGCGTTCGCGACCAATATTATTTCAATTGGAAAAGATATATTTTGTTTCAGTGACGTGTTCACCTTTCCTATACTTTACACTCCCATCGTGGTTTTTTTTAACTGTTTGTTGTTTGTAACGTTCTGACCTGCCCCTACTGGACATCTGTGAAAAAGAGCTTTATAGCTCATCGGATTCCTCCAGTCTAATTCAGTGTTTTGACTCTGAAATTTTGGCTGTGGGTTTGGCTCTCCAACACACGGGTGGCGCTGAAGTAGTAACTGACTGGCACGTTTTGTTCACGTGACAAACGTCATTCATTGGCTGCGGCGGGTGGAGGTGGGGTTACGACACATTCACATGTGGCGTGACTGCTACATTTCAATTTGTGGGGTGGAGGAGCAAAAACTATTTTGAATTTCGCCGGGCGGTGGTGGATATTCACGTGGCCTGTACATTTCAGCAGTGGAGGAAGCAGCAAGGGTTGGTGGATCACACGCGGGTGTTGTGGAACCCCCCACCCCTGGTTTCATGGGGGCCCGGGGCTGTTACAAATGAATTTGGGAACGGCCCTATTTGTCTATTCAATCGTTTCCCTTCACCGTTTCCCCAGGAGTACCTGTCCCCGATACAAATCACCCCATTGTTATTCATCTTGAAGATTATTATCAGCTCAAGTTTGTTTAGTTAAATATGAAAAACGGATTAGAAAGCTCGAGCAAGTCTTAACAAGGAACACAGATATTTTAATATCCGCACGTGACTATGCGTAACACGCACGCATGTACGTTCAACTTGTGTCGCACCAGAACGTAGCCAACCGTGCTATTCGGAGGCGCTATAAACTTTCATCACAAAACAATTACAGTGTGCAGAGTAATGTATCGTAGTGCACCAATACTGCAATGCATTTTGACCGCAAGATGGAACAGCACCGCATGGATCGCGTGCCATTTGGAGGGGCCTTCAATTTCCAAGGCCACTAAAGCCACCCTCTCCTGCGTTAACCTGGCACCGAACACAGCGACCTACGGTCAACGTGTGCGTAACGTGTGTGTGTGTGTACGTGCGTAAGGGTGTGTGCGTGCGTATGTGCGTGCGTATGTACGTGTGTGCGTTCACGCGCACCTCACGTAGGCAACTGTGCCGATCGTGCTAATCGGGGTGTGCAAACCTGTTGCAGTGTGTAAACATCGCCACTAGAGAGACAAAGGCGGCCGGGCGTGCTGCTAGCACCCCCCACCCCCGCCCCCCCCCCGTGTCCCGTGCCGGGCTTCATATGTGTTTGCGAACAAAACTTGCTCATAGAGTCTGTTAAGGCTACACGGATGATCGTTGTGTGCGTGTATGCGTACGTGTGTGCGGACGTGCGTGCGTTTGCGTACGCGTGTGCGTGGGTGTGTGCGTACGCGTGTGCGTGGGTGTTTGCGTACGTGTGTCTGTGTGTATGTGCGTACGTGTGTGTGTGTATGTGCGTACGTGTGTGTCTGTGTGTATGCGTACGTGTGCGTGGGTGTGTGCGTACGTGTGTCTGTGTGTATGCGTACGTGTGTGTGTATGCGTACGTGTGTGTGTGTGCGTACGTGTGTGTCTGTGTGTATGCGTACGTGTGTGTGTGTGCGTACGTGTGTGTCTGTGTGTATGCGCACGTGTGTGTGTATGCGTACGTGTGTGTGTATGCGTACGTGTGTGTGTGTACGTGTGTGTGTGCGTACGTGTGTCTGTGTGTATGCGTACGTGTTTGTGCGTGTGTGCGTACGTGTTTGTGTGTGTGCGTACGTGTGTGTCTGAGTGTATGCGTACGTGTGTGTGTGTATGCGTGTGTGTGTACACGTGTGTGTATGCGTACGTGTGTGTGTGTGCGTACGTGTGTGTCTGTGTGTATGCGTACGTGTGTGTGTGTGTGTGCGGACGCGTGTGCTATTTTATTGTTGACTCGCCAACGTTTTCCGCTCAAGCTTTCCCCTTGATCCTGATGTGCGAGAAGCACAGCGCGCACGTCTCGCACAGGGGCTCGCACACGCACCGCACGATCGTCGACCAGAACATCTGCAGGCACAGCATGTTCATGCGACACATGCGCAGGCACGGCGTCACGTTCCACACGTGGTAGAACTGCGCGCACGCGAAGTCGCAGCCCCAGCAGCACGAGAGCGGCACGGCGCACAGCACGGAGAGCAGCAGGTAGCAGAACCACTTGGTGCCGTTGTAGGTCCTGAAGGCGCACCTCCACACGCCGGGGATGCTGTGCGAACCCTCCGGCTCGGCGAACACGTCCTCGAAGAGCACCTGCCGCGTGGACACGTGGGCACGGACAAACACACAGAGAGAGAGAGAATGACAACGAGGTGTCACCCCTTACCCCATGCTCCCACTGTCACACCGTAGAGCCTACATAGGTTGATGGGGCAAGTGGTGCTACCCGTATAGCCTACACAGGTTGATGGGGCTACCCGTAAAGCCTACACAGGTTGATGGGGCTACCCGTAAAGCCTATACAGGTTGATGGGGCTACCTGTATAGAATATACAGGTTGATGGGCAAGTGGTGCTACCCGGATAGCCTACACATGTTGATGGGGCTACCCGTATAGCCTATACAGGTTGATGGGGCTACCTGTATAGACTATACAGGTTGATGGGCAAGTGGTGCTACCCGGATAGCCTACACAGGTTGATGGGGCTACCTGTACAGACTATACAGGTTGATGGGCAAGTGGTGCTACCCGGATAGCCTACACATGTTGATGGGGCTACCCGTATAGCCTATACAGGTTGATGGAGCTACCTGTACAGACTATACAGGTTGATGGGCAAGTGGTGCTACCCGTATAGCCTACACAGATTGATGGGGCAATTGGCCCAGAACCTCGTCTGGCCATCTTTGCCTCCTAGAGTCCAGCAGGAAAGGCTGCGTTGGCTGGGTCACGTAGCCCGCATGCCCAGCCACCGCATGCCCAAGCGGATTCGATTTTGCCAGATAGAATATGGCTGAATGGGCGCGGCATGTGCTGGAGAATAGATGGACTAATATGCTACAGGAAGATGTGGAGCCGAGTTGGACTTGCCGCGGATGACTGGGACCAGCGGTGTCAAGATCGGCCTCTGTGGAGGAGGAGGCTCTTGAAGGACGCTGCTACTGGGCAGTCGGAGGCAGTCGCCCTTCAACAAGAACGGAAGGCGGAGGAACGACGCTCACAACAACGAGCGGAGCGCCGGGCGGCGAAAATGCAGCAAGTTGGCCTGTCCCGTGACTTCTTGTTAGCGAGCCTTTGACACTTCACGTGGCCTCAAAGTGCACCTGGCCTGGCACAGGCCCAATGATGACGTCACCGTCACTTAGTAGGGAATGGGGGGATATTGTTATTGGTAGTGTAGTGGTTAGCGCGCTGCGCTACGAACCCGGCGGCACGAGTTCGACTCCCACTCACGGCCAACACCAATGGCAATTATCTGAACCAGTCCAGGGCCTCCTCTGGGTCGACTCAGCCTCAAATTAGTACCTGGTGCGGTGTGTAAACATGACCACTGGCAGCTGGGCGTGATGTTAGAAGGACACTACTGGGCAGGTGGTAGCAGTCGCCCTCCAGCAACAACGAAGGATGGAGGAGCGGCAGCGTCTCTCGTCCTGGCCAGCAGACCTCACCACTGGCACTAAGCTCGTGAACAAAACTGCTGCTGCTGCCAAGTACGAGAATGGAATGGAACAGGCGTGCATAGGCGTTCATGTTTCCGCGTGAACCGCGGTGGCTATGAGATGTTAACTCCCTCGCCCGGTGTACAGGACGTCTTGGATTCGATCCCGACCATGACGCCTGCTGTATATTCTGAGTTTCGGTGTCTCTCTCTCTCTCTCCCCGTGGTCGCGTGGATTTGTCTCCGGGTCCTCAGGGTTTCCCCTCCACATTTAGAATCAACGTCACGCGTTTAGAGTATTTGGCTGCTATGCATTCCCACGTGATGATGAAGCCACTTTGTTGAGCTGTCATTTGTGGCCAGGTCGCTTCTGAACACGAGCGACATAGCTCGTGTTCAGAAGCACGGTTGGCCACGTACGGTGCGAAGTCCAACATACATACAACATGCGTTTGATCGGTATCAATAGCACGCGCATCAAATGTCACGAGGAGTCATCGGAGGGTCCTCCTGCATGGGGCTTTAAACAAAAGCACAAATAGTATGATGTTTTCAGCCAATTCGCGAGTGTAGTGGTCACGGGTTGTTTTCCGTCCAGTGCTCACCGAACTGCGTTGGCTTCCGGTTGCTGAATGATTACATTGTAAGGTAGCGCTCACCACACACAGACTGCTGGCCACAAATGAACCACAATACCTTGCTGAACTCATCAAAAAGCAGAAATCATCACGCGAACTACGATCGTCCTCGCGCCATCGGCTTTTGGCTGCCCATCGAACAAATACGGCGGTCACCGCATTTCGCACTTCCAGACGCGCTTCTGCGGCCGTCTGGAACGCTCTTCCTTCAGATATTAGGACGCCACTGGAGCTGTGCGCTTTTAAATAATGTCGATTGAAAAACTAATTTCTTTACAACTACTTTTTTTTTAGATTAGTTTGTTAACCTTCCCCCGCACCTTCGATTATCACGGTTGGCTACGTACGGTGCGAAATAAGTTCAACATGCACACATTTCTGCGACTGCTTAAGCCGCTACTGCTGCTGATACTAATGATAATGCTGCTGATTATGCTGAAATCATGATTATCCTGATGATACTGATAATGACGATGATGCTAATTAATGATGATGCTGATGACGACAATGATGATAGTGCTGCTGATTATGCTGACAATGATGATGCTGATAATGATTCTGATGATGATGATGATGCTGATAATGATGACACTGATGATGATGATGATGCTGATAATGATGACACTGATGATGATGATGATGCTGATAACGATGATTCTGCTGATGATGGTACAATGCAGCGACACAGCCTTAGCACGGCTGCAGTGCGGAAAACTCACCCGCACGTGGCTGTTCATGTCCTTCGGGTCCCGGTGTTGCAAGTCAAGGGGCAGTGCGGCATCTGGGATTGACCTGGGCTCCCCCATGTCTGCGGTGTGGCCGCGGTGGCTCTCGATGGGGATGGGGGTGCTGGGTGCTGGGGGCTGTCTGTGTAGGTGGTGGGGGGACGAGGTGGGGGGGGGTGCTGGCTCTGTGTGTTCGCTCTGGTGTGCAGTAGCAAAGAGCCGCGGAGAAGCGAACTCCGTTCCGTCCTTATAAAGGCGGTCACGGCCCCGCACGCACGCACGCACGTGCGCGCGTTTCCAGGCGACAGACAGACCCATGCGTTTGACGCAGCTCCTCCCTCCCCGACTTTGTCGCCTCGTCTTGCAACAAGCTGTCGATTCGGAACCGCGCGCACAACAACAACAACAACTGCAACACAAAAATAATCATCTACCCATCATCCCCCGGCGAGGGTCGATAACATAGCTACCACTTTGCGGGGGGCGAGTCGATGTCGTGGTTGTCCTCTGGATAGACTCACCCCCTGGGAATCGCCTGGTCAAGATGCCTGTCGATCGTGTCCGGATGTGCCCGTAACCATTTTTCTATTGTGTTATATATATATATATATATTTTCTAGATTTATTGTTAATTCATTTGATTTATTTTTTTGTATTCACCACTTAACTTTCGCATGCGATTCGTTGCGCAGGGTGACACTTTACCCTGATCAGTCGCTGTTACGGGCCGGGGGGGGGGGGGGTGTTATATGTCCCGTTCCGTTGTAATGAGAACCGGGGCCCACTTTATTGAGGGCGATATTGGCATAGAAAATTAAGGATCGATTGAGTGATGTGTTTCAGGCGGGCGTCTGTATTTTTGTTGTTGCAAGATTCGAAACCCGACTTCAGAGCTGAATTTCTCGTGTTTAGTTCGTTGTCTTTCCCCCCAACGCTGAAAACCACTGTTGGCTACGTGCGGTGTGAAAGAAGTTTCACGCACAGTACAGTAGATGCATCATTGTTTTAGTTTCCTTTTGTTGATTCCCCCGAAATGTTATCCAGACTGTGCCATGGGCGTCCCTCGATCGTCGGATGGACAAAATCTGATTCTGGTTTCTCGCACCGCGGTGCGACCCTTCTTGGGAAGAGAGCGGTCCACGGAAGTGGGTATCGCAGACCTACTAAAGGGCCGTCCATAAATGACGTCACGCACCTGGGGGGGTGGGGGCGGGTCGGACATTTGTGACGATGTGTGACGAGGGGGGGGGGGGTGAAAAATGTGACGTCGCATCAAAATGCGCAACTTTAAATAAATATAGACAACACGTTCTACTTAATAAAATCGACTTTTTAATAAATGTTTTCTCCTACAACATCATAGTGCAGCGCCACATTAAATACGCACTACAATGACGATAGTTTAAAGCGATTTGAAGCATGTTTTTTTTTGGGGGGGGGGTAGAGCTTTGTGACGTCATATTTGAAGGGGGGTCTGACTTTTTGTGACGCCGTGTGACGAGGGGGGAGGGTCAAAAATCGTCCAAAATCGCGTGACGTCATTTATGGACGGCCCCAAACTCTGAGATCCCTTCGCGTGACCTCTGATCCACACAACGGTAGAGGGCAACACTTCCCTGCCACCGCTGCATGTGGCTGTTGATGGTCGTCAGTTCCAAACGTTAACTTTTAATTCTCGGAGCTGGGATTTATGCAAATTAAGTTTGGAACTGTTAAACCTTCACGTGACGGGTTTGTGTGTGAGCAGTCATTGGTGGTGAGCGGTAGTGTCGGGGTGAGCGCGCTGCGCTACGAACCCGGCGACCCGAGATCAATTCCCGCTCACTGCCACCAACATCAGTGACGATTACCTGAACGGGTCCTGGGCATCCCCTAGGTCGACTCAGCCTCAAATAAGTACCATATGCCATTGGGGAGACAAAAGTGGTCGTGAGTGGTGCTGGTGTTAGAGTTTTATTGGTGTTGTTGTTAGTGGTGCTGTTGGTGTTGTGTTGTTGGTACTGTTGTGTTCTTGTTGTTGTGGTGGTGATGTTGTTGGTAGTGCAGTGACGATAACCTGAACCGGTCCTGGGCCTCTCCTAGGTCGATTCAGCCTCAAATGAGTACCTGGTTCGGTGTGTTAACATCGCCACTGGGGAGGCAAAGGCGGCCGGGCGTGGTGCTGGCCACCCACCCCCTCGTGTACCGTGCCTTCATAGGTGCTCGCTAACAGCACTTGCCCCAACAGTCTGTTCAGGCTATACGGGAGATCTTTGTCTTTGCAGTCATTGGTGACCACCTGAGATCAGTTCGCTACACTTGTGAACGAAGAGTGGCTGGAACTCGGATTCGAACCCAGGTGTCATCGGTAGTGGCTCAGTGCCCTGGACCTCCGAGCCACTCAGCTGTATCCGTCACCAGTGCTTCTCGCTCTCTCATGGCCCACTGACCAGAGTCCATTCTAACCGTGTGCATGATGGTGTCAGCGATCTGGTTCAGGAGCTAAATGCCAATGTCGAGGTCTCCTAGCCACGGCGAGAGAGCTTCAGTTGAGTTCGTGTCGCTCTGCTGTTCCTCTTCCAGTGGCACTACTGTGTGGTCCATAGTTTGGGTGGCATGGCCACAATCGCAGGACTGTGACCCGTGACTTTAATGTATCTCTATGTGTCTCTCTGTACCTGTGTCTCCATGCACCTCTATTGGTCTCTAAGTATCTCTATGGGTCTCTATGGGTTTATTGTATGGTCCATTGTTTGGGTTGCATGGCCACAGTCGCGCTACTGTGGCTTGTGCCTTCAATGTCTCCATTCATGAAGGCGATGATGCGCATCATCCCGGCGATGTTCCGACCATGGTGTTGGTGGTTACGCCACCGGTGTCTGCGAGGAGGTGGAATTGTCAGAGCCAGGAGGGAGGCGCGATTGTGTTTCGGGTCACGAATGGGTACCGACCAGACGATGGCGATAGAGGCTTGGAAATGCAAGAGAGACGTCGAAACGATCGTTGAGCATTTGAGACACGCGAGCCCCATTATTGTAGCCGCATTCTGCCCATGGAGATTCACAGGGTTCCCTCGCTTTAGACGTCAGGACACATTAGGTTGATTTAATTTACTTCACCAATGGCGTTATGCATATCCAACGTGTAATTGTTTATTTTTTTAAAGTTAATATTTGTGTTTATTATCGTTATTCATACTCTTTGATTCTTTCGGTAAAGTCACGTGGGTGTAAAATAAAATAAATCACGACGTTTCGGGCGCAACACAAGCGTCCGTCATCAGGTGGGAAAGCGTGGCCTGCTGTCGGCCATTTTCTACCCACGTGACTTTACCGCAAGAACCAAAGAGTTTTGGAATTCCTGGAGTCACGAAAGCTTCAAATCAAGATCGTTTCGATTTAAAGCTTTCGTGACTGCAAGGATCCATCTTGTTTGGTTCTTTCGGTAAGGTCACGTAGAATGAGAATAAAATAATAAAATGACAAAATAAAATTCTCACGACGTTTCGGCCATAACGCAAGCGGCCGTCTTCAGGTGAAAGGTCGCTTGCGTTGTGGCCGAAACGTCGTGAGAATTTTATCGTGTTATTTTATTCTCATTCTACGTGACCTTACCGAAAGAACCAAAGAAGATCAAGATCACGTTATTCACATCTATTTTTTCGTCTTGTTTTTTTTTAAGGTGACGTTTACAATGTCCGTCCAGTAGTGCTCTGCTGGGAAGCATTGGCTTCCGGTTGCAGAACGATTACATTGTAAGGTCACGCTCATTACATGCAAAGCGCTCGTCACAAATGAACCACGATACCTCGCTGATCTCGTAAAGGAGCATGAACCATCACTGCACAGTCCTATCATCATCGCAGCAGCGACTTTTGGCCGGCCGTCGAACAAAGGCAGTCACCGCATCGCGCGCTTTCAGATGCGCGCTTCTGCGGCCGTCTGGAACGCTCTTGCTTCCGACATTAGGAGCTTTGCACTTTTAAATCATCTGGATTGAAAACTCGTTTCTTTTGAGCTGCTTTGTTGCCCTTCCACCCGCACCTCTGATTAACACGGTTGGCTACGTACGGTGCGAAAGAAGTTCAACGTAGAAACAACACTCAACCAATAACCCAGAATGAATTAATTGAGGCAACAACGTATATTTGATGAATGTTCAAAGATTACACAACTGCAACCATAAAAAACTAAGTCCTGAATTAATTTAAAAAGAAAATGCATCAATGGAAGTGAGTTTGAACATGCGTTAAAACAAATTAACTTATCCTATATGATTTGTTAAATAAATATAATAACCATGTGTCCTGACTTTTGGCCCACCCTATATATTCACATTTCTGAATATATATGTTTACTGTATGCAACGTCTTGCTTGCTATAAAATAATTGCGGACAATAAATAGGCCTTTGACTGAGTGCACGGATAGTATTCGACTTACACAAGAAGTAAACTGAAAGCTAGAATCTATATTTTTTTCACCAGGTAAGGCCCACTGAGCTATAAAGCTCTAATTCAGAAGCGACCTAGCAACACATTATAGCTCATCGTGTAGAAATTTATAGCAGCCAAATACTCTTTAACGCATGTTTCTAAATGCGGAGGTAAAAACCGGAGGACCCTGGGAAAAAAAATCAACGTTACCACGGGGAGCGAGACACCGCAAACTCCAAATGTACAGGCGTCAGCGTTGGGATAGAATCCACGACCTCCTGCATACCAGGCAAGGGAGTTAACATCTCACCACTGTGGCATCCAGTAGTCTGGAATTCGTCCTTACACGCCGTCCCCATTCAGCTACTCGCGTTCGGAAAACTGGGAAACCGGCCAACGTGGTCACCCGTTTGTGATGTCACTTACGAGCCTTTTGCGGCTCAGTGAACTGGAAAGTAGCTTCTTTGCACGAGCTCCTGAAAGGAAATGAGCTGCGTGCAGAGTAAAACAACGAGCTTCGTCTGTGAGCCATCAACTGGCAATGTCACCAAGCCCCTGCGTGTGCGGGTTAGAGGGGCAGCCGTGTGAATGCTCGGTCACGCCGCTGCTGCCGGAAGGGCCTCCCCGCTAGCAGCTCGCTCCAGATGGCCTCTTCTTAGGGGACCTTTTTTTTTTAACCCACTCTTCCCACGCTGACCATCTACCTTAGAACGAGTGGGAATACCCCACACTTTTACCCCACCACACGCGTGACGTGCCTGTCAAATAACTGTGGTGTACTCATTGTTTTTTTCGGTAAAAGTCACGTATGTGCGTGAGTAATTTATGCAGTCACGAAAGCTTTAATTCTTTATTAACTGTGGTGTACTCGATTATTATAAACTATAAAAAAATGTAAATATATATTTTTTTTACCAGGCAAGGCCCGCTGAGCTGTATAGCTCTTTTTTTTCAGAAGCGACCTGGCCACAAATGATAGCTTAATGAAGTGGCTTATTATAACGTGGAAATTTATAGCAGCAGTCAAATACTCTAAAAGTGTGAATCCTTAATGAAACGGTGACCCTGAATTCTAAGCATGCAAGCTCTGGTGAGCATGCGCACACTTCGAGGAAAAAAAAAAACCTTACATAACACATAATTAGCTATTTCACTTTAATAGCCAGCGTCAGTACTTG